TCACCTGAGCTGTGGCAGAGCCACCGACCTTACCTGCCTGCCGTCGGGGCGGCTCCTGGGCAGCCTCGGTGCTCAGCAGCTCCCGGCAGCTGCAACTCGGGTGCTGCTGGAAGCGCTGGAGCTTGGGAACCATCCCCTCCTCCTCCTCCTCTGCCCCAGCAGGGGATGCTCAGCAGGCAGGACCCCGTCCCTCCCCGCTCCTCTGCTCCCAGCCCGGCACCCGCGTCGGCTTCGCAACACCGCCCCCTGCAGGGCGAGACCAGAACTGCTCCGGGGGCTCCTGCCTGCAGGTGGGTGAGCCCCTTGCCCTCCCCAGCAGGCCCGCCAGGCGGGGGTTGCTTCCCTGCATCAGAAAAGCTCATTTTTTGAGATTTTTTTTTTTTTTTTCCCCCTTCCATTGGAATAGAATGTTTTAATTTTTAGTTTTAATTATTATTATTTTTTTAGACGTTCTGCTGGGCCGTGGGCAGGCAGGAGCTGGGAAGGGAAAGCTGCTCCCTTACGGAGAATTTTTTGCTAGGAGGGGTGTGCCCTGCTGTGTGTGTGTCCTGTCTGTGTGTGTGCCCTGCTGTGTGTGTGTCCTGTCTGTATGTGTGCCCTGCTGTGCCCTGCTGCGTGTGTGCCCTGCTGCACGTGTGTGCCCTGCTGCGTGTGTGCCCTGCTGTGTGTGTGTGCCCTGCTGTTTGCCCTGCTGCGTGTGCCCTGCTGTGTGTGTGTCCTGTCTGTATGTGTGCCCTGCTGTGCCCTGCTGCGTGTGTGCCCTGCTGCACGTGTGTGCCCTGCTGCGTGTGTGCCCTGCTGTGTGTGTGTGCCCTGCTGTTTGCCCTGCTGCGTGTGCCCTGCTGTGTGTGTGTCCTGTCTGTATGTGTGCCCTGCTGTGCCCTGCTGCGTGTGTGCCCTGCTGCACGTGTGTGCCCTGCTGCGTGTGTGCCCTGCTGTGTGTGTGTGCCCTGCTGTTTGCCCTGCTGCGTGTGCCCTGCTGTGTGTGTGTCCTGTCTGTATGTGTGCCCTGCTGTGCCCTGCTGCGTGTGTGCCCTGCTGCACGTGTGTGCCCTGCTGCGTGTGTGCCCTGCTGTGTGTGTGTGCCCTGCTGTTTGCCCTGCTGCGTGTGCCCTGCTGTGTGTGTGTCCTGTCTGTATGTGTGCCCTGCTGTGCCCTGCTGCGTGTGTGCCCTGCTGCACGTGTGTGCCCTGCTGCGTGTGTGCCCTGCTGTGTGTGTGTGCCCTGCTGTTTGCCCTGCTGCGTGTGCCCTGCTGTGTGTGTGTCCTGTCTGTATGTGTGCCCTGCTGTGCCCTGCTGCGTGTGTGCCCTGCTGCACGTGTGTGCCCTGCTGCGTGTGTGCCCTGCTGTGTGTGTGTGCCCTGCTGTTTGCCCTGCTGCGTGTGCCCTGCGCGCCCTTCTGTGTGCGTGCCCCGGCGTGTGCCCTGCTGTGTGTGTGCCCTGCTGTGCGTGTGCCCTGCTGTGCGTGTGCCCTGCTGTGCGTGTGCCCTGCTGTGTGTGTGCCCTGCTGCATGTGTCCTGCTGTGTGCATGCCCTGCTGTGTGCCCTGCTGCGCGTGTGCCCTGCTGTGTGTGCCCTGCTGCGTGTGCCCTGCTGTGCCCGGCGCTGCAGACACCGGGGGGGCAGCACCAGGAGGGGAGGGCAACAAGGGGCACAGGCAGAAGAGCCGGGAATTCGGCAGCTCGTGGCTGGGGGCGATGTGCA